AGCATATTCTCAAGCTTTTATTTTTTCATCCCTCGATATACTATTGGAACGACCAACAAAAAAGGGATATTAGACCGATAGAGTTTTTCGCTCTACTGGAACACATTAATATTCATTATTCTATGTAACGCAGCCGAAAGGACTGCTTGAAATGCGACGAGATATTTGCTAAAGGTGATGAGAGAAGGAGTTTTGTGCAAACATGAGTGAAAGTGAACATTTTTTCAAAGAACTACTTAAAAAGAGGTATTGGCAGCTTCGATTGGTACTATTTCAGTTGGTGCTGGTGCCCATCCTATGGCTGTTGCATTGGCTCCTGTACCCAAGATAGATTATAGTGTTACGAAGGTAAGTATGAGTGCATAAACTATTCATAATTTTGAGCATCATGTAATTTAGGGAGGTGCGCGAACATGGGCAGTTCTACTTGTTTTTCTATTTTTATGTTCTGGTCTATACACAATATTTTCTTCCAAAGAGATAAACGAAGATACTAGTGAGTTCTTTGCATACAATTAAAAGAAATTTAAAAGAACTTTTGCGCTACTTTAAAAATTCACCAAATCAAAGTCATAATTTCTCATCCAATTTCTTCTTCCCTGAAGACTTTGGTTTCTAAAAACACTGCTTCAGGCGTTCCAAACGAGCAACAAGATGAAATAGGAGACGATTCGCAAAGCTATTCAGATCTTACTCCAAAGGAGCGCAGAAATATAAAGTATGTAAAGAGGCTCATTTACTACCCTTAGTTATCACGACGATATACCCAACCAGCCATAAAAGATAAATTGAAAGTTGTGCACTACACATTTATTTTAAGTGCAATAAGAGATCTAATGGAAGAACTCTCGTTATAAGTTTTAGCCAAAAAGTTCAGTCCTCTTCCTTTTTTATACATTCAAATGCATATGGGCTGTTTAAATTCAGTTCTCGTGGAAATTCCTCTACCTATTTTGTAACTAATGTTTATACGAAAAACGTCGAGAAAATTATAGAATGATAACAAAGGGAGGAATTAAACTGTTTGAAGTTA